CAGCCAAAATTACTGGTAATCCAAGCCATTTCTCCTGCCACAAAGCTGCTTTAATTTGGCCTTTTAAGTGCTACTTTTTGGGGCAGTCTCTCGATTTCCACTGCTGCTTCCCCTTTTGCTCCTTTTGGGTAAGGCTCCTTCAGTTCAACCCGTTTAGAACACAGTGCCCTGCCACTCTACAAGTCGGAGCTTCCCCAAACTGAAGGGTTTTACCCCACAAATAATGCCTCTGCACGCGCAGTGCGAGCTCAGCATGACAAAACCAGCCTGAAAAGGGCCACGGCAGCGAACCGGACAGAAAAGAAGGAGAGAGACACAGCAGAGACTTTCAGGGGTGTTTGCTTCCCCCCAGACGTGGCCCCAAACTTTCAGGTTAACTTTCCCCCCGCTCCAGCTGGGAACTGTGCTGACACTCAGGCTCCCCAGCACATCTGGGCACATGAAGCTCTGGACGAAAAGGGACTTGAAATTATCTCTACCTGGACTTGATTTAATTTTTTTTTCAATTTTGGTGAATTTCACTTCATATTTTTAAAGCCTTTTTTCTTTCTTCATCTCCTTGTTCTCCAGTTTCAGCAGCAATTTCAGTTTTTGAAAAAGCAAATTTTAATCAGAATATTTCAGTATAGATTTTGCTCAGTCCTTCAGTACCATTTTTCTCTGTTAAGTCCCTTCCTAAGTGATACAGTTTTTCTTGCCCTGTGTAGTAAATAATGTCCTATTAGGACTTCACGGAACAAATCTGTTTATTTGTTTTGGGTTTTGTTTGTTTGTTTTTCTGCATTTGCTTATTATAAATGTTTGAAATACACCATGGGAAAACTTGCTGGCAGAAATATTCCCTTGCAGTTTTACTTCGATTTCTAGAAAAGGATTCTGCCTTTCCTCTCCACAAAATAAATAAGAGTCAAGCAGCAATTGGTTAAAAGGGGAACTGGTTCAAAGTATTTAAATAACAGTTTATAGGTGACTACCTTGCAATTTTGTTTTATCCAACAAAATACTGCTGGACAGCAGTTTTGGGAAGCATCCCTATGTTTAAAAAAGTAACTGTGTTTAAGTTTGATTCCTACCTGTTGTGCCTTTTAAGCCAGGATTACCTATAACACCTGTCACATACAGTTACCCAGGCTGACTGCAGCTCTGGGAAGCTACAATATGGGCTGTGATTAATTTGAAGATTCCAGAATAATACTGTTATAAAAGCTACACTCTGCACAAAAATAGGATTAAGCTCTGAGGCTGTATATGAGCTAAAAGTGTTGAAAGCTAAAGCCCCCATGCCACCACTTGCGACGGGCAGTTTAAAATGACAGAGTTTGCTAAATTCACATGGAAGTAGAAATGTTTTCAATTATTCATCTTCATTGACTTCATATTGTCTCTTTTTTTCCCCCACTGCTTAAACTGATAATTACTTTGAGCAAACAGACGTCCCATAGAAATGCTTTAATAGAAATGGTCGAAAGTTCTCGTAGTAAAACCTTCAACCTTGCCACTATAATAAATAAGCCCGGCACTTTGATGAAAATTAACACTAGTTTTGTAAAGAGCACATTGGGGGATTGCAGTCAGGTCTTATCTTTAGTTCCAGTCAACTAGCAATCCTGAAAGAGTTTGCATCATCATCAGAGCAGGCCATTTGATAGGATTCTGCTGCTGAACCTAATCAATCTATGGAATACTGTGGCTGCGCGGTGTAACAAAGCTAAAATAGATTTACAAATGGGGTTTTAGAGGATAAGCTCCTCCACAGGATTACATATTGATTTTAAATATAAAAAGCTTATCATATAAACCATAACTACAAAAATAGTGAACCTATGCATAAATCCTTTTAGAAGAGCACCCACTTCAAACTATAAGCCAAGAATAAATCAAGATGTACAAAATCCAAAAGAAGATCCATTTCTTGGGCAGAAAATGAACACACCACCCCAAGGTGTGCAAAAACGAACTTATCTTTTCTAAGGAGGCATTAAAACTCGACTGAAAAGAAAAAAAAAAAGAAAGGAGTGAGAGGAAAGGTAGCTGAAAGTGAGCCATCCCGGCACTCGGCTACAGACGCAGTAAAAACCAGTCTCTGAAATGCAGCACCTTGTGTACACGAGCAGCCAGCTCCACACAGCCGGACGGGATGCCTGGGAAGGTGCAGAGGTTAAAACAGACCCCGTTACCTGCATTTTCTTTGGCCTGTTAGGCAGGGAGTTCCGGCCTTTCTCGGTCGGAACAGTCCGAGGGGAACACTTTGTAGCTGGGAGAAGGCAGCGCGTTAAACTCTCTCTTTCTTATCTCTACGGCTAAATGGGGGAAGGGAGGGGGGAATTTGCCTTTTTTTTTACCACCCTCGGTCATTCATGTGTTCCTCGTGAAGTGCCGTAACCCTCCAAAAGGCTATTCAGCTGCCTGTGCCTCCATGTTAGCAGCTGGAGAAGGGGACACTCTCTCCACATCACTGAACATCCTGACGGGCAGCACCTCCGGCCGCCAGCGCTGCCCGCACGCTGCCCATGCAGGCACGGCAAGAACCGCCTTTATCTGCCATCAGCAGGCTCCTACCTTCCGCAAGGCGCTCTCTCTCTCTCTTTTTTTTTTTCCTTGTCAGCAACTAGCTAAGTAAATTGCTTGACAGATTTTTAAACAGTATAGTCACGCGTGCGAGAGTTAGAGCAATTTACCAAAACAGTAATTACCACCTTTCAAAGACTTTTTTTAAGTTCCAGTTTGGGTTGGTGCATTCTGCCTTTCTTTTAGACAAACAAACCGATCCCATCCTGTTAGATATATACATACATATATATGTGTATTTATTTTTCTTCCTGCCCATACCTTCAGCTTTGGAACTGGTGCTGCCAAAAGTGAGATCTGTCTTTTCAACTCTTTCAGGGAACCCAAGCACTCATTAGCAATCGGCTAAATGGCCTCGGAGCTGACAGCGCTGGGCTGTTCAGGCAGCCCGTGCTTCTTCAGGGAAATCGTATTATAAATGGCGTGGTTTTACCAGCGCTTCCCAAAAAGTGTATCTTTGCATCTTTTGAGCACAGAAAGCAATACAGCACCGACGCACACACATTGAGAGGCAAGATGTCACAAATGTGTGTTTTGAGTTTTCACAGCCATTTTCTTGGAAGAGTTTTCTCCTTTAATATGTTCTTTAGGTAGGTGTTAAAAGTTCTAGAAGACTAAAAGTCTTATTGAGAGCTAAAATGCAAAATGAGGACTTTGTTGAATATATATATAAAAAATTGAAAAATAACTAAAACTCTACACCACTTATGTTTGCTTCCTAAACCTCTGTTCACTGTATCACCAGTAGCAATTAAAAAAAAAAAAAAAGAAAGAGAAAGGGAGAGAGAAGGAAAAAAGATGATTTTTTGGAGTTTGGGCATCCCTCTCTGAACTTACAAAAAGAAATTAAAAAAAAGACAGATTTTTGTTCAAGACAATGTGTGAATGGCACAGACTCCCAGACATTCAAAGGCTGCTGCTGGGACATTTCAAGGAAGTATATATTTATAAGGCAATTAAACACTGAAAATTTGTATTTAAATACAGTATCTCTTAGCTCCTCTCTAGTTTTAGATTATTCTATGTTTCAAACATTTCATCAGTGTGATTCCAAATTAATCTGGGTTGTCTCTGCAGAAAGCAATGTATATATTTATGACTCAAGATTACCCAAGAATACAGTGAACATAGTCTTATGCAAAAAATATAACCACAGATGGAAAGATATGAAAAAGCCACCTGAAACCTGCTGCTTTTTTCCAACAAACTTACGCTCCCAGTGAAGTCTCCAAACTAATTAGAATTGATTTATTATGGATCAGGTACCTTATCAGGTGAAGAAAGAAATTACCATGGACAGTCAAAGGGTTGAGAGGTCAATACGGAATAGCAAAATCAATTTGCATTGATTAGACAAAAGGTCCATTTTACAGAGCCCAAAGGATTAACTTTAAAGCAAACATCTTTGAACTATAAGGCAGCGTTTGTGACTGAGAGGTATAAGCGGGGCAGCATTAGAAAACACTTAAGATATTTAAATAAGAAAATAATGCAAGCAATGGTTTAAGCTATCTGGATGTTTATTTTTTTATTATGAATCATCCCCAGGATTATTGTACAATTCACTGGAAAGCCCTATGGAAAGGATGCAATTGTTCCATTTATCCCGTGTCAATCTTCCCCTGAGTGTTACCTTCATTCAGGTAAGGTGACTAAACTGGGGAGAGTTGCAGAGAAAACAGAAAATTTGTGCAAAGGATTGCACTAATCCTGGTGGTGCTTGTGATGAAATATTTACTTGACAAACATAGTGTTTTAGCACCAAAACCAATAAGACTTTTTTTTTTCTCCCAGTGAGATACTGTTGTGAAACAGGTCTGAAACATTAAAAGGAAGGAAGGTCCCTTCTGTGGGTCACCCCTTCCTTTTTCCTGCGGCACCAAAAGCAGCGCAAAGCCATGAGAGAGACAAGAGAGCATTACTACAACACGAAAATATTAAACCCTGGACATATACTCTATACCTCTTCATCACTTTGTTTCCAAAGTTTATTCCAATGAGACCATACTTCTTTGTCCCTTATCTTGGACTTTCATTTTTTTTTTTCCTCCCGAATAAAACTTAAGAACGGGATTGCAGACTCAGCATATTTGCTGCGTGCTAATTGCTCGAAGTGATGTAAATATCAGCATTATTGATGGGCTTCAGAGAAGCCTCCACACTTGGTACTTTCAGGCAGCCACCTTCAGCAGTGAGCATTTCCCCCCCTCAGCACCCAGCACTGCTCTTACCTTCAATGGCAAGCATTGCTCTTAGCTCCCGGTTCAGCAGCTCGTAGCGCCTTTCTAGGTCATGTTCTTTTTCCCTAGGCAAGTTGCAAATGTTCATCAATATGTTAATTACTAAATCATTAAACACTTAAAAGCACCTTTAACTCACATTGATTTTAGGACTCGCAACCGACTTTTCTCTTTAACTTTAAGCTACTCCAAACAAATGATACACAAACTTAACACCTGGCTCAGGTGGCCTATTCAGTAACAGGGGCTTTTCTTTTTGTGTAATGTTGGCTTTAATTCTGTCAGTTTAACTCCACTGTGCTACAGGATGCAACTATTTCATATTCACCTTCGGAGCAGCTGCTGTGGAATGTCCCAAGTATAAAATATTCCCCTGGATGTAAGGAACAAATTCCAGCATCAACCTATTCACTGAGATAATATAACACTGGAAGTATTACTGTATATACATTCTGCCCTAATGAACAATAAAAATTAGACAAGGGATTAGAAAACTTAATATTTTGAAGGTAGAATCCTCTGTCAAGTTCAGACCCAGTATGAAGTAGGTGAGCAGAGGCTCTTCCCAGAGAAGTATGCAGGCATCTACACTAGGTGGCATTACTGAAAGAAATATCATCCTACTGAAAGAAGCACTCAGGGCACAGAATGCCTCTGAAAACGAGCAGCACCTTCTCCCTTCCTCGATGGTGCCACTGAAAAAAGTTCATTAGTCCTTACTTTGCAGTATTGGTGGTATCACTGCACTGTGACTGATTTATTAATATCCCTTCAGCAGCCTGGTGCTCCTGAACTAGCAATGGGATTGAGGATTTCTACAAAGCAGGTAGCAACTTAAATTTACTCTCTTTCTGAACAGACTCCACCTGACTCATCTGAGACACAATCCAAATCTATTTGTGCATTTCTGAAACGTAATTTTATTCTACTGCTGGTTCTTCGAAAACGTAACAGTGCTTAATATTCCTTTAATTTCGTTTTTCACAGCTCTGTCTAATCTTGTGTCATTGCATGCTTCTCATTTTCAAGTCTGAAACATGAGAAAAACAAGTTACTCGATGTGTAACACATCCACACTACTCACTTTTCAGGGGTTATTTTTGAAGCCTAATGGGAAGAGAGTAAAAATTTTTTTGCATCTATCTGAAGGGTAAATATTCTGAAAAATCATCCTTTTGTAAATACATATGTTCATCTGTACTTACAGAAGAGAAAGCTGATTCATTCTTCTTATTAAGGCATTCTTCTTGTTAACCAGCATGAACCATTCCTGCATCATAGCTTCTTCTTCTTCTGTGTTTCTTCCTGCAATCGAAAGAACTTCATTACTTATTGTGGCATTTCACAAACTGAGCTACATATTTCATGTCAGGTTTTGGAGTATCAGTCTCCAATATCACTGAGCATGACAAGGTGAATTCACAAATAGTAAATATATCATAGGACCACAAGTCCTGCCTGCTTCATAAATAAATCTTTGAAAGCAGTCATTCTTCAGCATACATTTTAGTGTTCTTTATCATGCTGTCACCCTGACCTAAATTAACACCTTTTAAAAAGGACTGTATCTTTTAAATTCTTACAAATGAACTACAATATTGCAATACTCCCACTCTAAAAAACCTTACTGATAAAAGATGTCTGGTCATCACCAAACACAAACACAATCCCTGTGGGCAAGATCCACTCCACCCATGCAAACCCAGCACAGTCAGGATAATGTGGTAGGGATCAAAGTAGCTGCAGAGGAGATGGCAATCCTGAACCCTCGGCCAAGGTGAGGGCACCTGCTCAGCTTCTGTGTTTGTGGCCACTCTTTCAGATGATAAGCTGGAAAGAGCTGCTCCTCTCCGCAACTTGCAATCAAAGGGAGCATCTGCACAAGTACAAATAATCTTGGGATCCAGGTGCCTGAGGGTCCCCATATGTGTATGTATGTATTTCCCTAGCCCACATTCATCCCAGGCAGGATGAGGATCAGGACCCTTCATGGCCCACCTGCAGGCAGTGCTGTGCTCTACCAGACTCTCTAACACTGTGTCACCACCCCTGCACCATCAGGGCACATGAGGGGAAAGGCAGATGAGCATCCTGAAGGCTCCTGACTGGGCTTTCCACGTAGCAGGGCTGCTGAACCAAATTCCATCTCCCTGAGTTTGGGGACTAGGAGAAAGTCCTTTGTGGAGGCTGCGCTTCTGTGGTAACCTGCCATTCTCACCTCTCAAGTTGAGCTGAAGAGCAAAGACTATATGGTCCTCAGTGAATTATGAAACTCACACATTTCATATGCTTAAAATTAATCTCGGGAATAAACCTGGAATAGTGGCAAAGGAGCATGAGCTGGGTCTTCTGTACGCTTCCCAGCTTTGGTACTGCTTCAATGGGAGACTGTGGGCAGATCTCTAAGTTTAAGTGCCTCATGTGCAATACAGGAATAATCACCTGTACTGATCCTGCAAGGGTGCTGAACGTTAATTCTTTGGTGTTTGTAAAGGGTTCTGAAATCTCTGATGCAAAGTGCTGCACACTTTGGGATGCCATCTTATTAACTTGAACCATAGGATCCTTAGTTGCAAAGAAGCAATTTCTAGCACCTGAAGCTGGAAGGACACCAGAAAAAATATTGGTTTACTCTAAAAAAAAAAGCTTTCAGTTTCTGGATGAGACTGTTTAAAATGCTTGCATGTAGGTGCTTGCCACGTGCATGTTCACACCCCAGTGAAGTGTGCAAGCCCAAATCTACATGGACAACCACATGGTCACCAGGGTACTGGTGCACCCTGCTGCCTGCAAGGGAAGGTCTCAAGAAGATGAACAGGGAAGTGGGTCAGCTTAGGGTGGAACTGGTGGACCCAAATAGTAACAACAAGTTACAGCATCTTCTTTCTGATGCAAGACATCCGCCCGTACCCATTTATCACCCTGGGAAGTGCCTGGTCCATGAAGCTTCCTGAAAGGGTGCTTTTAGGGTCAAAATTTGCTAGCAGTGAGACAAGAAGGGCAGAGTATCCCAAAATGGGGATGGCCCTGCAGTCCTTTTCCAAGCAAAAGCAGCAGGGTCCAGCTCCTGGACAATGGAGCAATGAAAGAAGAAATCTGACATGTAGAAATGCTCTCCCTCAAGACCTCCACTTCTAGTTTTGTGCATAAAATATCACACCACGGCATTTACAACAGTATTCAGCAGTTCAGTACACTTTGCTGTTAAGTTACAGATCAAGGGCCTTGCTGCTGTATTGGTCCATCTAACAGGGTCTGCTTTTAGAAGTAGATGATAATCAGTATTAGCAACCTTTTGTTGAAATGCATCAAGTAGTTGGAATTCATTTAGGGGAGAGGGCAAGAAGAAGGGGATAGATTCTTTTTTTTATCTTTGCAAAATGACTAGTCTATTCTGTAATGCATGAGATGAGATTTTTTTTTTAGCAGCAGTGTGGCAAAGTTCTCACAACCAGACATCCACGGCTACAGTAACATTTCAATCAATTAGTTAGTTTTGGGGTGGTCTGGGATCTCTGGCTAAAAGATTATAAATACAAGCTCTTACTGCATTTAATTTTGCAAGCTTCGAAAAAGAAATGGGAGAGATAAATGTTTCCAAGGTGTTTGACTCAACGGTGGATCTGAATTTGACTTTCGTGCCATGCAATTTCAGGTTAAAAACATAAGATATAATCTTCTTTCTATTAATGCATTCCTCCTAAATAAAGTTAGTTGCAACATATAATGAGAAAAGATCTAGGTAAAGCTTGAAGCTGTCGAGTTAGATCTGCACAGGTGTCTGTTTTAATATATCCATGCTGACACCAAAGCACATGCAATATCCATAGAATAGGCCGGTTTAAAAGTGAATTAACAAAGTCTTGATTGTTTTTACAGAATTTTAAATCTGTTTTTGTATTCGCTTTGGACCCATGTGATGCCCTGACACCAGTCATGTGATATCGGCTGCGATAGGCACAAATCCCCGGGCAGCAACAAAAGAAGAAAGAGCAAAAAAGAAAAAGCTGAGAAAAAGCTTGCAATTTGGAAAAAGGCCAATTTTACCCTGGTGAAGGCCTTTTTGATCAGTGAAATGACACATGTGTGCAATATTAATAGTAGTCAATGCTGATATTTTATTTGTCGACCGTCAGTTTTTAAATTCTTGTGCATGGACTTGAAACAGATTCTTCCCAAGCAAGCAAAATAAAGATGAACTCCCATGTATAAGAAATTTAAATAACTCTTCAGCAAATACACTAGCATTAGAGCATTACTTCATTTTTTTTTTCCTTGGTGAGAGGATGCACATGAAACACTTTCAACAAAGAAAAACTGAGTGTTCTTACTGCAGCGATATTGCAAGCTAAACTCACAGTTACAACTTCTAAATAAAAAATTTAGAAAAACCCTTTCTTCAACACAGTTTCACTCTGTAAAACGCTGCTGCTACTGGGGTGGTGGTTGTTTTCACTTTCCAAGTGTAAAACAAGTATTTAATTGACTTGCAACAAATACTTGAAAATTCAAATTGGGAAAATGTCTGTGTTGTTCTTGGGGAAAAAAACCACAACACGCCGTACAGATTATTTAAATGAAGCAAAAAACCCACGCTCGAGAACAAATCGATCCCACACATGCAAACCCCTTATCTAAGCCAGTACAAGATGCTGAAAATCTATAAATAGCTCACAGATCTTAAACTTAAATTTTTTCCATAATACATGCATTACACTATTGTTTTTGATAAACAACAACAACAAAACCCTTTTAAAGCTAGTAAGTTGGACCATTACAAATTAATCCTGACTTTAATAACTGGTTAAAGACCCCTTCAGCTTTATAAGTAACAAAAAATATTAAAGCCTGTGATCACAGCGAGCTTTTCTCATTTCTCCTCTAACCATTTGTTATTTAATCCAATACTAGTAATCCAATTTGTCCATCAGACTTTTAAAGGGCAGAATGCAACTTCTCCAGCTTAGACACTTTTCAAAGTACAATATATTTTTCAAATGAATGCTGGATGTTTCATTTTTTCCCCAACTGTTCCTAGCTCTAATGTATGAGGAAAAAAAGAACAAGATGAACATTGTTCGTACTGATTAAGTAAGAGCTCATTAAAGAGCTGTCAGTGCTGTACTTTGAATATGCATGAAGCATATAATCAGATCTAGTACCGTCACTAGAGGAGAATACGGTAAGTACAAAGGATTGATTTAATTACTTAGAGTGGGCTGTGGTGGTAAAGCAGTCTTGTTAGCGCAGAAAGAAAAGGAGGTTGTATTCTGGCACGGTTAGGGGAAAAAGGCAGTTTTAGCTTCTGCCACAATACCTAATCTCAGGATAAAGCACTTTACATTGTAGCTTAAAATGAAGACTGCCAGTTTTCTAAAAAGACCAGAATTCATCTTATCTTGTTTAACCTCATCTGGTTAACTATCTAGCAGAACATATTTATTCTCTTTAACACGTAATTATGCTTATACCTTTTTATCCTATAGTTCAATAATGACTTCTGAAAACAGTCTTCAAGTAAGAGTGGGTAGTGCTGCAAACATCATATGCATGCAAACTGCTTGGTAAGAGATTTGAAAAATGCAGAACCAGAAACTCAGATGAAACAGTGAGTACACGCGCCTTTATGTGAAAAGTCAATACAGTTTTTAATGTCAGACTTTAACCTGAGGAGGGTTCTGGCAGGGTTTCTCTAATTTATTTTCTTTCCCCCCCCTCTCCTTTCTGCTTTTTTCCCCCTCTTCTTTTCTCTTCTCTTTCTTTTTTTTTTTTCTTTTAATTAATTCATTCTTGTTTTATTCTTCCTCTAGGAATCCAAGGGAATTCTCTCACATCAACTCCCAGTGCCATTTTCTAATTTCATTGTCTGGCTTGAGTGGTGAAGGATGCGTGCTCTATTCTTCTCTTCACTTGACATCTACCAGAACCCTCCTCAGTGATTAGGAACGAGCCCAACACCAAGCCTCAAACAGCACAGGACACTAAATTCTGCCCTCAGATATGAGAAACTACTACTGGCTTCTGAGTCGCGATTCCGAGCTGTAATAGCTCCTGCACAGGATTCAACAGAGGCTGCAGGGTAAAGTTTGGCAATTTTGTCCCTTCCTGGAACAACTTCTAGGGATAGTCAAAATGATGATAGCAAGCATTTTAATGACAGCCAAAAAACAAAACCCAAACCACAGCCCCAAGCCCCTTTCCTTTCTCCTGTGGTTCATCCCACATACTCATTATTTGAAACCAACTTGAGTCAATTTTCTTCGGCAATGCTCAAGAGTTAGAAGCATGGTAACAAATACATTACC